ATTATAAGAGATTGTGACCAGGGAACGCGGAGATTCCGATATCAATTAATCCTTGTCGAATTACGTTATCGTTATGGTAAAGTTCTAAAGTTTTATTATGCGTGGGAAAGAACCACGCAGGATTTTCAGAATATATTTAACTCGATATAGCGATAATAAATGATCCATTCTTAAATAAGAAATTGATAAGCAGATAGTTTTCGCTATCCTTTTATTATGATAATGAGTTCCTGCATTGTATGTTTATTTTATTTCCATAATAATATGTACACTTTTACTTGAGGAAAATATTCGGGTTATCATCATTCTTAACCAAAATGACAGTCTTGGCGAATTGTTTCTTTATTTGTTTTTTGGTTAATTTGTTCCTTGAATCAGCCATGAGATTCTGGATAGTCAGTTCTTCGATTTGATGGAGTGTTAATTCTTTATTCTGGATTACGAAATATTATTAATTAATTAATAAAAAAATCAAAAATTGATATACTATAAAGCGAATCCAAATACCTTTTTGCTCGTGAATAGTTCACGAATCGTAGCTGGTATAGCTGTTTTTAGGTCAAATTCTTCGTTTTTACCATTGTCTTGGCTCCTTTTGCTATCTGACGCACCGTTGACGGTGTTTATTTTAGATTTTTTGTCGGTATCAATAGAGGCATCAGATACATCATATGTGACTACTTGATTTTCAGATAATTTTGGCTTTTTAAGGTACCGAGTAGTAGAAGATTCTTCTGCAGAGTTTTGATCAGATTCCGAGGCAGAAGGAATTTCCAGGCCAAATTCCAATTTACGTTTCTTTGTTACATCTAAAGCAGTCGTTTCTTTTTTATTATCGTCATTTTTCTCCACTTTTTGTAATTTATTTGCTTCTTTTGTGCCCGATTTTTGTTTCTTTTGTTTTTTCAGAGGAACATTAGTAACAGATTTTTTATTAAATTGACTGCTTTTTTTCTGATCTTGAGACGATTCATCATCGTCGTTGTTAGATTTGCGCTTCTTTTGATCTGTCCCATTAGTTCTCTCTTCTGCCTCAGGTGTTGCGGGAGTTTTTTTAGATATTTTCTTTTTGCTTTTTTTGGGACTAGTACTTTCCTTGTTCGGTTTATCAATCTCGGTATCATCCGTGACGGCTAATGAACTTGGCATTGTTTTTTCTTTTGTGCTTAGCGATTCTTGATTAACTTTAGTAACAGTATCTGTCATATTCTTTTTCGGTGAACCATTATTATCATTCTTCTTCTTTTTTTTCGACTTCTCTACGGATTCATCATCAATTGGCGTGTCTTCTTGATGGTTTTTTGAGGCGCTTGAAGCACTTTCGTTGGTGGTTGTTACCTCATAATCATCAGACTTTACTTGTGTTTCAACAATCTTTGGATTATTATTTTTATCCTTCTTTGATGGATCGTCATTTTTCATATTATTATTAGTAGTTGCACCTTTAGCATTATTGACATTGTTTTTTAACTTCTTATTTTGTTTGTTCTTTTTCAATATCAACCCCAAAAATAATGGTTAAAGGTAAATGGTAGATTAAATATCAAAAAAATTAATAATTCACTTTGATAACTAAAAAAAAAACTAACCTTCTTGCCTTTATATAACCCCTTTTGATATTTTTCCGCTTCACTTATGCAACTTGTATGATATTTATATGCGTCGCCATGAAAAGTTGCAGAGCAGTCAATACAACTAAAATAAGCGCGCGGACAACGAGTAAAATGTGCCTCGAGTTTAGGTTTTTTTATGGCCTCTATTTTGTGTTGAAAAGATTTAGTAGATTCAACATATACAGAAAGATCTCCCTATATATACCCCTCTAAATAAATGCACGCACTATATAAACTCTAAATGTACGGCCCCAACTTATAGGAGCTCTATATATTTTGCTCTCAATAAGCGCACACCTTCCTTTAATACACACAACCTTTTTTACTATGGTCCCAAGGGTGCATTTAGGGAGTTTCTCCGTTCTTGTATGCAACATAACGCAAAAACTTCTTTTTACCTTGACAAACTTCGCATGCAAAGGAAACCATTTTTGCAATGTATAAGTTAATCAGAAATGTTTAACAAATATCTAACGCTTCGAAAAAAAAAAGACGCGTCGATTCTATGCAGTTTAAAAAAAAGAGGTTCGGACACTCGTTACGGACAAAAACGGGATCTCCCGTTATTTGCTTCGATAAATTTTTTTGTGGAAGATCGGATTATGCTCACAAAAGAATTATAGAAATTATTATAATTTTGGTCAAATTAATCTACAGATCTGCAAATTTCTTCAGTATAATTCACAAATGATCTTATACAAGAACACATTTTTGACATTGTGAATCAAAATATCAATGAATTAGATACTCGAGAGTATATTATAATACGTGCTTTGATTAAACATTCATTACAAATTTTTTATTACCCGCAATTGAAAATTTACAGAATCTTGATTATAAAACTACTCGATTTGTCTAGTAATAAAGATAGAATAATGATCAGTCTGTCCATTTGCAACTGAAGACGCTTTACCATTCACTGCGGATATCCCATTCATAGCACCACTGGCTGTTGAAGTGGTTGATGATGTTGCTACCACAGAAGGGACATACACCCAAATATCTATATTATTCACACCCGGGATCAAGGAAATAATAAAGTTCTGATGCGTGATCGAAGGCGCATTGGGATAAAAAGTATGACCAGTGTTTATTACTTTGCGTCCTTGATGATATACAAATACGTCAACTGGTTTTGGAACAGGCAATAATAAACTAGAAACAAGAATTGGGATGATTGTGACATGAGTTGCATTCGGCCCCAATGTGATACTGTGTGCATTATGTTTTGTGTCCAATGACATTGCAAAAGATCGATCACTCGCTTCTACACCAATTCCTTGTAGTAATAGGGGATCTATTATGTATATAGATAGAATATCAGATAAATATTTATTATTTGTTATTTCACCAACAATTACAAATACTAAAAAATCTCATAATATTTAGATTATAATTAATTCATTAATTAATGTGTTGATGACCAACTTTGTCTAGCATCCAGTGTAGATTCATCGTATACTCGCGTAGTATGCATAGAAACAGGATTAGATTCCAACAACATGGGAAAAAGACGATTATTCTCTTCGGCTGCTGGTACATGTTCTTGATTTTGTGGTGATTGTGCATAAGATTCAGTGCTATTGCTATTAGCAGGCCTTTTGGAAACCTGTTCTATAGAGTCAATGTTCATTTCTGGATTTGTATCCAACGACATCGCATCCCCTGTTGCTGCTTCAACGACATATGCTTCTTCCATTAATCGAGTTTTTTGATTTATATTGTTGTTTTCATCGTGTTGTAAAAGCAACTCTGGAGATGAGAGAGATCGTGGCATCACGTCCTTGTCCTCTATTGTTTGACTCAACGAACTTACATTCGTTGTTCTAGCTGTTGTGATTTGATCATTCGATAGTACCCGTAACTGAGGTGATAAATTTAATTCTACATTAGTAGACTCTTTGGCATGATACTGATTTCTCAAATCTTTTCCATTTAATGGGTGAGGGCTCTCAAAATTTATTGGTTCGGGTGTGCTGGTGGATATTGGATGATGAATTCTTTCTCCCCCTATCGGTAACGTAGTATTGCCGCTGTTATTTGATGGCGGTGGTGGTGGTGGTGGTGGTGACGGCGGAATTCTAAGTTTGTAAGTGTTTGTCCCTTCATCTAATTCCAGTGGGGTATGTACATTTTGTGTGTATGCGGAAATAGCTGACTCTGCTTCATAGTTTCTCACAAGCATCTTGGGCGCTTCCCGTGGAATTAAATTTACTGGGATGACTGTATGCACGGATAATGTACTAGCCCAATCGCCGATTGGAGTAAAAAACTTTGATGCAACAGCATATGAAGACTCGCAAACATAGACATTGTTATCATCGAATCCTTCAGGGCGAGCTAATAATATACACGAAAGATAAGCATAGAATATAACTGGACAGATAAAAATAAACACACATTTTTTACCTAATATATAATCCTTGGAATGCATTACGAAACATTTTCCTACAATATCCACTAACATATGCTCCTCGATTACTGATGTTTTGAAAACTTCCTTCTCAAAGAACCTCATGGTTGAAGGATGTTCTGTCTGAAAAATGATCGAGAATTTGAAATTGATTTCTTTGAATTTGTTTTAATGTGATAGTGTTATTAGCTACCTGGTCAGGACGATAAAATACAGAGCCAGCGAATCGTTTCTGAGACCTGTTAATAATTGTAAAAGCGTTAGAGAAAATTATTGGAAAAAATCATTTACCTTATAAAAAAAAGAAAGATATTACTT